GGAATCACGTGCTTACGGTTTTATCTTTACGAAGTGAAAAAGATGATCGTGACAGGCTAAAGTAGGTTTACTTTCCTGGTGTTCTTCAGAAAGGATATCTTGCATGATTGATCAGAGCTTTGTTCAATTCTCAAAGCAATTTACTAGAACTGAGAACAGAACGTTTGGTAGAGCAAGTTGTTCAGTCCTGGATGATTACTTCTTATTCCAAAACAATTACAATAAAGCGAAAATGTGTTATGTTCCTGTAAAATTATGACTCTTTCCAAATAGCAGCAGAGAAACACATGGGTACAAAATCACAGCAACAGAACCCACTAAAGAAAACAGACTAAGTCTGTATTATGCCAAGAAATACTTAATTAAAACTCATTGAGTTCTTTATTTTTAGTGTTTTTTAAAGGGCTATATAAAATAGGATATATGCCCTATGGTAATAGGAAATGTGCTCCCCCCCACCTTCTGTGCTATTAGCTCCAGGTATATGCAGGCTTGAAGTAGCTGGTGCTATGCTGACCCATGATACAAGCAGTGCAAGGGTACTGCTGAACTATGACTCCGGTAGACTATCCCATTGAAGAAAATGAGAAGCCATTGCTTTCCACTGCACTTGTTCCACTGACCCAGGACATCTCCCCAGCTCTGGAAACAGGGACTGCTTAATTGCAAAGCTCTAGGTTGTGTTCCTCATACCACTGCAAGCAGGGGAAGGAAAACAGCCTCGATTTTCAGAGGTTTCTGCAGCTGTAAATGGAGCCTATCTGCAAAATTAAGATTTCATCAGCTTCTGTCCGAGGAAGGAAAGCGAACGACAAATTCATTTCAGTCTCTGATAAGGTTATTGCATGAAATGAAATACAATAAAAATCATTAAGCAGTCTGAGATGATGTGAAGAGACACAGAGAGGTTTGAACTCGACGTTTTCATTCAGCCACTCAAATAGTCAGCAGAGTTTTAATCGTGACAAACATAGGTTACTTTTGAACACTTACTAAGCCAACAGAACACCATAAATACATGAAGTCACATTACCAACACACCAACGCTTAAATCCTGTTCTGCATTACAGGTGCTTGATACAACTCCTGAGCCCCCCATTTCCCCAACACTCTTGTCTGGAGAATCTTTATCTACATAGAAAACATAGGGAAAGTGTGACTTGAAAAAATACAGTCTGTGATGCTTACGGATTTATAAGAATCAAGGAGAACTAGAGATTTACCTTTGTATAAGCCTGTCATTGAATCCTACAGATGGATTCCAACACTCCTGCGTATTTGCTAACACCAGGTCCCTTCAGTGGAAGGTGTTCATGCATGGCTGCAGGATTACAAACAAGCTTGTGGAGGGATACATTGAATTTGCCCCTTTTCACTGAGTTCCGCTCAACAATCTCTTCAACAGAGCTTGCAGCCATCACCCATACCTGTGCCTTCACCCCATCAGAACACTCGCCTGCAAGTGACTGAACTTGCAGCGTTTCAGCCCACGGGGCAGTGGCTGCTCTCAAGGCTTCCTAAAGGTACCGAATGTTTGCAAAAATCACATTATTGAAAGACAAATTCCTCAACCTCCAGAGCGCACAGGCGTAAATGACAGCAAAGCACAAGAGAAAGTACACCAAAGTACAAGAAAGACAGAAAAGGAGCAAACTCTGAGGATAAATGGGTACTGTAACATCTGTGTTCCTCTCACATTTACATCTCTGGGCAAAGACTGCCAGCAAGGCAGCTAATTAGTGCTAAATCTGGCGAGCATCTTTCGGATGATGAGTATACCTGTCTGCTAAAGAACAAAATGAGCTGTATTTTGCAGACTGGGATGAGCAGCCATTAGGTGGTGATTATTTTCCGTCTTCCAACTACAAACTATCTCCAGGATCTAAAAATACTTGGAGTCCTTACTTTACCTCTTGAACTAGCTCTAACCTACCTGCCCTTCCTCAGCACGTCCAGTCCAGCAATGAACACAAGGCTTTGCAAGTCAGGAGATGCTGCAGACCAGTACTTGTAGAAGAATTCAGCTTTACAAGGGTTTTCTTTCTCAACCAGGCATATCTATATCTAAACTAATGAGGTGTCATTGAAGTGCTGCTAGTTGAATATTAAAGTAAAACACCTGCTTTCACTGCCCATTTGTACCGAGGAGCACATTGTAATGTCAGGTTATTGTAGTTTGTATGCTAGCCATGTACAAAACCAATTACTTTCAAATGAAGCTGACATCATTTGCCCTCCTGTACTGGAGCTGTTCATCAGATGTCTTACCTCTGCCATGTATCACTTGATTCTCTCCGAATTAATCTGCTAGGTCATGGAACCCACTCATTTTAAATTTCTGAGAGGACTGTTACATCTTTCTAACCCTCTTCCACACTCTTCAAATGACTTCAGAGCCTCACTCACGGCTAAAGAGCAGAATAGATTCATTTACCGCCTCGGAATGGAAAACAAGCTGAAGAAACTGGATTTGCTTTAGCAAAAATATAACCTTGCAAACCTTTTTAGGGCAAACGTCTTTCTGCTTTGTGTTTGCTTACTGCCTACAGCAAAAGGAGCCTGCTCTATGGCTGGACTTGCAGATGCCATCTTAATACACAGTGAAAATAGACAGGCTTTAATTGGGAGAAGTTGGGAATGGATTTGTGTGTGTGTGCATACAAACAAGATGAGCCCCAGGTAAAACAGAAGGCAGAACAAAGGAGAAAAGGAAGAAATCCAGTCCCTTGAACACCCTCCTTCTCGAGCTGCGCCAAGCGGTCATGCTGAGGTCTCCCACACATGACCCAGACGTACATCACTCCTGCTCTCCCTCAGTGTCCCCATTAAGCACCTGAATTCTGCTTGAACACTGGAACACCTGGGGACAGCCCTAGTACAGATACCCAGGCCTGGGACTACTTTTAGGATTTAAAAACATTCCCACTTCGATGCCATCACTAAAACAGCTGCAAAGAGACACTACAGCCCTGTGTTTAGGGGGAGAGACTGTTCAGGCTTTTTCCCCTTACCAGCAGCAGTGCATGAGGTTATTAAAGACTTACCTCAACCTCCAGTCCCTGGTTACAGTTAACATCCTGAGCTGTGGGAGCTTTTCAAAAGCTATAAATTTTACTTAAGGTGCAGCGACTCAGTCTTTGCCTTTATCCCACTTGGGCTCGTTATATTAAAAAGTGAGGTTGGAAAGAAAAGATGCAGGGGGAAAAAAATAGAACTTCTCATGATGAAAAGGAGTTCACCCTGAAAATGAGCTTTCTCCAGCAGGAATGGCAGAGCCAGCACCCATTGGTAGGGCTGCCAGAGCAGGGAAACCCAACCCCACAGGGAGCTATGGACCAGGATAGCACACACGACCATAACCAAGCACAGTGGTGAGGACAGTATGTCTAAGGAGGGCCCCATCCAACCTCACCACCCCACATTGATCAGATATACTGCATCATGGCAGAAATTCTGGCACATGATCTAATAACTACTTCTTTCCCCTCTCGTTTAACCCATGTTTTCATTCAGTTGGAGAAAGATTGACCAGAATAAGAATCCTTCTGCCTGAGCAAAGAAAGAGGGAGGAAAAGGAAGGAAACAAATCCCCCACACCAGAGCTGTTTTTACATACTATTAGGCATGGAGAACATATGAAAGATTTAAATTTGGATTTGAACTTTGAAGAACATCCCGTTTCCCTGGGTAGCAGAGTTCAGCCAAGGGAATGCTCATCCACGTCAAATACCCTGCATATGGCTCTTCTGAGTAAAAGGCTCTTTTTATAAGAGCTTGCGTTGCTCCCCCCTTTGCCTTTCCAAGACATTTACATATGAAAACATGAAGCTTCTTTGCAGAGCTTGTACAACTTTTTTTTCCTGACAAAATAAGAGGCCTTTTTTCATGCTTACAAATCACCTATTGCTCTTTTGGCTTTAGAGAGACTATATTAGCAAAACCACTGCCAAACAGGTTACCAGGTATTGGGGACAAATCTGTTCGTTGCCTTTGTAAGGCACAACCCCAGAACAGCCCACTCCCTCCCAGGACTGGCAAGCAGCATTAGGCAACTTTGTCAGTATAATTCATGGAGACCCACCTAAGAAAGTTAAGAATCACTACACAGCAAAACCTTGCAGTGATTTTACACACATCAACAGCAACTGAATGGCTTTAGAAAACAGAGCACAAAAACCTGTGGAAAGGAAGCACAAGGGATACGCCTCTGCCCCAACATGAACTGCTGCAGCACTGCTCTCCTCCATCCCATTGGAAGGTCCTTGCTGATTTTCAATGGCACATGGCTAAGCACACTGCAGACCAAGCTACAGGTCCTTCAGGATAACTGGCTGCATGTGGAGGCACCACACTGATAAATGTCCTCAAAGCAGGACTAAACAGGATACCGATTTTCAGGGGCTGATTGAAGATAACATTAAACATTGAGGACCCACGCATGCCCTAATCGCAACAATATAGGAACATACTTTTGTTTGTTCTTTTGTTACTTTTGTGAGTGCAGATTAACAATGAACAAACATATTTCAGCAGATGATACTGTGGAAAGTTAATCAGGCAGAGGGGAGGTGTTAAAGGAGCACAGCAGCTGCTCCCTCCTCTGTAAACTGGCAATCCACAGCATCCTAGTGAATCAAAGCCAACAGCCAAGAGCAAAGAATTAGGGAAAAGACCACAAAACAGGTAAGCAGTCTCCTGTTCTATCAGTAATTCCTTTCAGTTTACAATCCCACAGCTTTCCTGCTGTAAATCTGTGAATGCAAACTGATTTCCCATGCAAGGGATCCTGCCTCAATCCATCCCTGAGCAGAAAGCTTATGTAATGATAGTAGTAATACTGTACTACAGATAACTCACCACATTTAGATTAAGTGATTTATCCCTACGGCTTTCAAGAAAAGCCTTTAAATTCCCTCAGGGAACACACTGCTCCAGAACTCACTTATTATCCAAATAATGAAACTACAAGACCCAGAGAAGCAACTTATCAGAGCTGCTACCTGGAGTTTCAGCTCTAAACTGCACCAAAACTGTTCACTAGCATTACATAGCAGGCAAACCAGGTCTAGGATCAGAATCCAGAAAAGCACTGTATCATAGAAAAACTCTTACCTGCCTCCCCAAACTCAGCCACACCGTGACCCAAAGTAGCTTTGTCCATGCAGAAAGCTCCACTCTGAGCCTGCTCACACAAAGCTTCCTGCTGCAAAGCTGCCCCATCACACCCCTCTCAACACAGGTTTGGCCACTTAACCTGATAGCACATTAACATTAACGAGGGCAACCTGTCCTTCTTGCTCCCCCCAGACCCTTTTGTGTAGATCTTTCCAGAACACCTTGGGTGGTTACAGTTGTTAGCACAAGAGGTTTTGCTCAGTATGGTGAAAAATATGCTACTGTACTAAAAACGTTATTAAAAATGGAGAGATATGTACCTGTTCCTTCTGAATTCTGTGGGAACAAGACCCAGGCTCATGACCCTGAAAGGTTTTCCCTTGTTTTGAAAGGGATTGCTGAATCTATGTTTCATCTGCAAAGATTGGGGGTGAATAATTAGTATTAAGTAGGTCTGAAGTGTTTAACCCAGAGACTGTGCCACCCAGTGAGAGCTGGAGGAGAAGGAATGGGCCCAGGGACCTCTGTAACAACACATGATGCCAGGTTTCTCCTTCTGCCTCCAGCCAGAGCAAAGGTGTTCAGCATCTCAAAAATCAGGGGCTACAGGTGTTCATGTAATTATTTGATGGAAACTAGATATACACCTCCGAGTTCTTTAAAGTGATCTTGCTTCTGCTACAACACACGTATACTCCAGCCATCAATGGTGCTTATAAACGCTATGATACCACTTTATGCAGGGACTAGCATTTGACATTTATGAAGTCTTCAGTAATTTTACTTAATAAAGTTAATGAAGTATACATTAGTAGTTGGAGTATATCAATCTCCTCACTTTTACCACCACAATATCTACGTATATAAAATCATTACCATAAAATTTACTAAACTCACTTAATTTTTGCAAGTTTTCTTCCCTAACTCTTCTTACTACACTGATATCTGGTCACTTACATAGTAAAACCTACCTGTAAGTGATATCATCATGTGGTTCCCAAGAGCATGTGCTCTGGCTCTGTCCTTGACAGCAAAGGTTCATTTGCTATCAAAATGCAGGAAAACTATAAGGGGAGAAAACTAATGAAGCAATGACATCCTCATCAGGACCATAATGTAACTGTGAAGAAGCCCCATTAAAAACACTGGCTAACTTTGCACAGAGTTATGAGTGTTAACAGCAATTATGTGCCTCATATTTTTACATTAAGAGCACTGGCTGAGCCAGACTTGCTGCAGTCTTTTTAATAGGGTTTTCTCTGAGTCTGCGTGAGAGCAAGGGAGATGCTCCCAAAGGGCTGATTGAAGGAAAGGCAGAAAAGCTCAGAAGAGAAAGAGCAACTTGTGAGTTTTAGGACTCCCTAAAGCATTAGGCTACAGCAGCCAGAGGCCTCACTGGTTTTACAAAAGTAATAAGCTAGACCTATCCCTAGAACCACACCAGACCTGTAATTCCAGCTTTGTACCTATCAGTTACCTGCTAAAATGCTAAATTACTGGTTACCAGAGACACCTAGTGCCCAGAAACTTCCATCCTCTAAACAGTAGAAGAAAAATGAGGCTTTCCCCCTCCTTCAGCATCTTCCCCACATTGAGCTTCTGCCTCGAGATACAACACATCCATGGTCCTCATTACACAGAAAAGCATCCAAATAATGTCCTGTTGCATTCAACCAGGATAACAGAAGCTCTTACATAGCAAGAGCAAAGGCTGCTTCTACCTGCTGAGCCATGCAAGGAGCGCTTGGCCAGGCTGCCAGTGACCACGCAGCCACGGTCAGGCACAGAGGGCAGGGGTTCCTCTTCTTGCAGAGCTCTTCAGTAGAAACACATTAATTACGGCAGTTAAAAACGGATAAAATCACGCAGAACTGGGAAGTGGGGTGCCACAGGCTTGACCTCTGCATTAATTTATTGAACGTGCTTCACCTTCGTTTGTTCTTGGTGATGTTTTGCATAAGCACACACACGGTTCTCACATAAAAACACGTCTGAAGATGTTGGATTTACTCTATACAACTAAAATACCAAATCAGCTAAGCCCACTTCAGAGATACATATCCTTTCAGGGCTCAAACACCCACTCATTTATTATTCTATTTGGACAACCTTACATGGGACTCAGATTTTCTCCCTCTGGGGGGAATCAGCATATGGCAGGAGCAGGAATAAAGCATTAAAAGCATTCAAGTGAAGTTCTGTTCCCTTGTTTTAATTGCTTTGAGGTGAAGACATGATTTGCTGGAGGATATATTTAAACAAATCACTGAGCTACTGTGGCTATATTAATTCTGAAGGCCCAAAAATGCAGTTTCCAGAGTCATCTTAGCTTCTTTCTGGATAGAGGTAGGAGTACACTGAATGTACTGCACGATTCCGAGTGTCTCATAATGAGACATTTGTTTACTAAAGACACCCTGAGTTCAGATAAGCAAAACAGCATTAAGAAACTACTTCAGCAATAGATACAGCACTGACTACACGGTTCTAAACACTGGTTCAATTTGTCATTCAAGCCATGTGCAGTGCACGGATGTAGCCTGCAGAAATCATCACAGATTAAGACTTCCATAGACTGTTTCTTCTGGATGTTTTGCTAAGTGCTGGGTAATCTTTCTGCTGTTAAGTATGTCATGGCCCCTTATTATCAGCCCTACTCCCTCCATCACTGGAATTCACTTTATTGACAAGAAACCAGACAGCCAATGTAAGAGTCTCTTTAGGTCTTTGTGTAAAAATTTACTTCTCAGAGATTGGAGAAATTTATTCCATCTCTTAAAGGCTTTATTTCAAGTCCCTCATAGTGAGTCAAGACAGATGGTCACAAAGCATTCAGGACCGAGGACAAAAGTCACAGTGGAAAAGCAGCTCTAGCCTTATTTTCTGCAGCAGTTTCAACTTTTTGTATCTTCACAGAAACGTGCCAAAGCTGACAGTTTTAGTCAGCAATACCAATACAAATGTCAGCTCCCACAGAACTAGTCTTCTTCACAACAATCTAAATACCGTATTCATCAGCAGAGTCACTTTTAAGTATCTGGGGAAGCAGAACAGAATGGAGAATGAATGAAACACCTTAAGCATCATTCAAGAACTACAGGCTAGTAACAAAGGAAACAGCAGGTGTGCATGCAAGGACTAAAGGAGGCATGGTCTTCAACCAGACAAGCTGATCTAGTGTTTGAAAGAAGTGAGAAGAGGAAGCTCAACTGAAATTCCCAGTTCTGACTCAGCATGGAGCTCATTCCACCTCTTTCCCCCCACCCATGAGATGAGCATGATTTCTTGCCTTAATAAAGCCCTTCTGGATCTTCAGACTGAAGGGGCTGCAGGTACCAGTGATGACCATCAAAGAATACATGAACAGTTTCCCATAGCTTTGCCCTGCTGGGCTTCAGGACACTGATTTATGGAGCGCCTTCATTATAAGACCATCAAGTGGACATTGTACCTGCTGCAAGTACAAATCGCTATGTTAAGCAAGATAGCAGTTCCTCTTCTGACCACAGTGATCTGCACCTTTGCTTAGTCTGCGTCTATCATGCCTTTTATGCAAACACTTGGAGGAATGTGAGAAACGGATTCAGCTTCACAGGGGATAAGTGTGAAGCTGCAGCATTGCTTCAAAAGCTACAAGGAAGATACCTAATCCCCATCCTACAGTGGGAAAAGGTTCTGTTTGCAGTCCTGAATTTCAAAAGGCTTTCAAATCTCCCACAGGTGAGGCTTACCCCAAAGTCTATCTGGGAAGTTTAACTATGTAAAGTTTAACACTTTCGATTTACCCCTGTTTATTACTGAATTCTTTGGTATCTTTGGAGTAAGGCATTTGCTACCAGGGCTGATGTCACATCATTTAAACCAGGAATAGGAGTCACAAAAGACTTTTCCACTCAACTGGAAACCACAGTCAGGCTTGGCCTCTTCCATAACTGAAACCTGCAGACTTGAGGGATCCCAAGCACAGCCTCTATTCATTTTCCACGACTGTGCTAGAAAAGTCATTACTTCCAGTTATAATGGCTCAAGACAAAAGTAAGGACAGGAAATCAGCATTGCTCAGAAAAACAATGTTCTTTTTTTCAAGAAACAAAACTTGACTTGCAGATTTGCTCAATTTTGGCCAAGTACCTGTTCACAGAACTCAATCTTTGACAGCAATTAATGGGAACACATCACTTTATTCTATAGCTTCATCTTAATACATATACACAGTTGAAACACTGCAGCCCAAAGTGCTTTGAGAACTGACAGCCCACGAGTTCCTCCATAGTTATTATCAGCAGCTTGGGGGCCTAACTCTGCTAGGTGAATTGATGCAGATGGAAGACTAGTTTGTGTCAATGTAAGTATTTTTACATGCATTAAAGGCTGTTACACACAAAATTAGCTTACACAAATTGGTCTTTTACTCATGAATCCCTTGTCATTTTCCTATTATACGTACACTGCATTGGGATTTGCGGACAGAAGTTACTCAGTCTTCATAAAAAGGATGTTTTCAAAGATCTTAAACTGAAATTCAACTCCCCCAGTTCCTAACCACGTAAATCTGCTAAAAACATCTTGCTAAGCTTAATTGCTTAAGTCAATCTCAATTCAGCAGAAACTGACTGAAAATACCATAGAATATATACTAAACTCACTATACACAGATCCCTGATCTTCTGACAAGGCAGAATAGCAGCAATGGGTAGCAGTTATAAGTAAGGGCTCTTGCATTGTGCTTCCAAACTCCCCTCTGCTCCAACTCTTCCATCTGTTTAAACATAATAAAACACTCAATACTGCACACACAAAATGGAAGTCTCATATGGCAGGCAACCTTATGTGCGAAATACAGCACTGTGCAGACTGAGATCTCAGGCGTTTTACAATCTCTATTATGAAAACCAAATCATATTGCAGCCATTTCCAAGTGTCTGATCAGCTTCTGAGATCTCAAAATACTTTAATAAAATGTGCAACTTAAAGAGTTTTAACCACTGGAAGAAATTACACAGATGTGGACTGCCTCAAAGCATCCCAAAATGGGTTAGATCATACTGCCAACTCCCTAGGACACGTAGGACAAAACCATCCAAGCACCACAGAACTGTCTGTTCCAGAAAAAACAATCATTGTTCCATAGTTTCAACATAAGAAACCTCAATAATGACAGTAATGCATCATTAAGAGCCCAGCACATCTCTACTGCTGGTTATCCAAAGGGAAATGCAGCATACAGCAGAATGCAACGCAAGAGGAAGTGACGGTGTGCTGAGCTGGATAGCAGCTAAACTCCTGGAAGCACGGGACAGCGGTAACAGCTTTTACCCTGTACAGACTTATTTCAGACGCCCTCTAAAAAGCTTTGCATCCTCCTCTTAGGTCTTAGAATTACAGCAAAAAAAAAGGGATTTAGAGGATCACCAGAGGCCTTCAAGAAACATCCTTAGGCAAGAAACCAACTTGTTTTCAGGGTGCGCTACGACTGCCGCATCCACCAGATGGGTTCAGCACCACATCCAAAGAAGAGAATCCCATTTGCTGTCCGATCAGCAAACCCTACGCAGTTGAAACAGTTCCGCATGGAAGAGACTTACAGAACCAGAACTTCCTGGTAATTTAGAGAGCAGCAACCCTGGATATTGAATGAGACATGGGACACAAAAATCATTCAGGCCTTTAAGAATTTGCTAAACCCCCTGCACCACAAACAGCCCTCAGACAGGAGCAGGGTCTAACAGACTCAAGGCAGACTCAGCAGCAAACCCAATAATCTTCTAAACCAGTGTTACTCTAAAATCTCATAATTCACTTTCTTTCTTGGAGGCTTCCTTTCCAAGCACTAACCAGACTAATTTTATTTAGCTTGCAAAATCGGACAAGATCACAGCCTGCAGGGGAAAGGCTGCCATGATAAATATTTAATGGGCTACATCAATAAAATTCATTTTGCCAAGGAGAACGGAAGGAGAGGAAAAGCTGAGAAATAATTCATTAAAAGAACCTCGGCTTAGCAATGCCAGGGAAAAAGCCAGGCTAGAAAAAAAAGGAATTACATACAAAGAGATTTTATATAGGTCAGAAGCTTAAGTGCTCCTAACACAGGGCAAATTGACAAAGAGCAGAGTTTCTCAGAATGAAGTACAGTGATATGTATACTTAATAGTAATTCATCCTATTGAAAATTAATATCCCTGGATACCCTAGTAACAGTTTCAACTTCTTGCTGTTGGTGAGGTTGGATAATACGAATACCTTTTATCATCCAACCTAAGACCTGCTTAGTACATGAAAGTTACACTGCCTAAAATCCATTAAGAAACACAACAGGGACCTTGAAGTGTCTTTTACTTCTGAAGGCAACAGTCTCCCCTACTTTATATTGGATGGGGCCATAAGTTATGTCTTCCAGAAGACAAAAATGCAACAGCAAGAATTAAGGTATTTAGTACAAAGCTTAAACATTCTTGTTCTGCAGTGCTCCCCATACCTCAGTGCAGAGCTTTGTATCTGCAACTTACAGCATAGAATCTGCAAGGAGAACTGTTTAATCCTCCTTTCCTGCCTGCCAATATTTGAAACCATTTGCAGTGATACAAGGAGTATGCACCACCTCTTCCATTTAATCTCCTGCTCCATCCAATCCGGACTGCTGACAACCAGAGGTCAGCACAACGGGTGAGGCAGAACACCAGAAACAGTTGTGTTTACATTAACTAAACAATCCCAGGAACACAATATTTCAAATTCCAATTCTGCATTTCCATTCCTACATCGCTTTGAGTCACTGGATTTGGGATTACTTTTTTATTGGATAAACTGCAGAAGCACATACTGTGCAAACAGCAGCAGAGTCTCAGGACAAGCGGATTACATGGTAATAAAATACTCCACAACTGCTTCAGTGAGATATGATAAGAGATAACACACTTTAAAACCTGCTGTGTCAGAAGACTTTGATTTAAAAGGATTTAAGAGTTTTGCGGGTGAAGCCACATTACTTAAACCTCCCGAATGGCGAAATACAAAGATTGTTTTAAAAAGGCAAATTGCGTCAATAACCAAAACCAAAACCTCACTCCTCAGCAGTGCTGGCACAGGACAAATGTTCAGCATCACGAAGCAGTCAAGTCTTCACATAAGTGGTTAAAGGCTGCCCTCTAGTGAAGGCATAAAACGGCTTCAGCATCCTGGCTCTTGGATGTTACTGTCGAAAAAGCTCCCTCCTGAAGTGGACAGACATTAGTCACAACTTATTCTCGAAGCAGGATTTTCATTGTAGCAGATTACTTACCAACTTTTTGTTCATGTGTTAAAAATGTAAAAGACGTAGCCACTTCAGGACCAAAGTGATCAGAAGCGTTGTATCTGGCAGCAGATGAAGACCCAGCAACATGAGCTGTAAAGCAATCCTTGCTAGGTGATCCTAATGGTATCAGAATTTCACAACCGATTTAAAAATCAAGCATGATGGATACTCAGGATGCTTTGCTTTCACAGAAAGAACGGGGTCTTCCTTAGGAATGAATTCCATGTTACATACCAGTTGTTTTTGTGACTCTTAGGAGGCACAACTGAGGGTGGTATTGCTCCCATTTTGGTTTAGGCTGGCTTTAGGCTACAGTTGGCCCAGTAAGTCGAGCTGCACTACACCACCAGCATCACCAGGGCTTCATATTAATTTTCTCCTCCAGCCAGCAAGATACTTCTCCAACGCAGACTCGAACACAGCCGATGGAAAAGCTCAAGCTGAACGCATGGAGCACAGGTTACAGTTTACACAGAAGTCATGTTTTCTGTTTCAGCACTGGAATACTTCATACGCTTATAATAACTGAAGACACTGAAGTATTTCTTTTAGACATTAAGCTTGAATACCAACCATTAAAATCTACTTGCTTACACAAAACATTGGAAAAAGTTGAAACAACTTGCCTGAAAATTTATCAGGTACATTTATTAAGGAAAAACATTCAAAAAAGACATGTTCTATTAATTTATTTTTTTTTAGCTTCCATATAAAATAAAAAAATAACTTGTTTGATTTTGCCAGCACACACATCTGCAGGTTACAACACCTAGGGGAAGATCAGTACAGAGAATTTAGTCAGTATCTGCCAGTTAGCCATCACAACATTTTACACAAGCTTAACATGCAGAAGACGTGCTTCCAGTCTGACCGAGTTTAGCTTTCAATCATTAACACATTTTGGGGTCTAACAGAACTACTGTGTTACTGTCAAGGCTCCAGGTCTTTCCAGTTTCCCAAGAAGAGTACAATAAAATCCTGTCTGCACACAAACTATGATTCAAACTTCAGTAATTTATGTAACCTAAGCTGGAAAGTGAGCGTGGTCTCACGACTTCAGAACAGGATCAAGCCAAGTATCTGCCAGCCTACAGCTCTTTTTAACAGCAGTGCCTATGAGTTTGAGTTAAATATGTTAAGATTTTTAACACTGTTGTCAACAGGACTGAGCAGCAGTTTAGTTGAACTACCAACTCCCTGTAAAAGTATTATTGGAAAAGCAGAGATGGAGAAGACAACCCTCACTCCTGCCCATCATGTGGAGCCCACTCCATGAGTGCTCCAGACAGAACAGTTTCGGATTACTCAGTATAAAGAAATTCTTACTGCCAGCTATAAAGGAGTGGAGGTAGCAAAATCAAACTAAGGTTCCTCAAGACAACGTTGTCACAGTTTTAATGCTTGTACCTCAGTTTCTGGTTCATCTTCTCCTGTATCTTCTAAAAATCTGAATAATGTTTCAGCCTGAAGGGGAAAAAAAAAAGTTGAGACATTTAAAATTTTTCAGTAACCTGTTGAGTGAACAACACAAAGAAGCAACCACTTCTTCACTGAGCCTGACCACAGCTCACAGGAGGGCAGAATGGGTTTTGAGGTTGGCAGGGACCTCCAGAAGTCACCTGGTCCACACCTCTGCTCAAAGAAGGGCAAGAGACAGCTGCCCTGAGCCATGTTCAGATGGCTTTTGAGTATCTCCATGGATGGAGTCTCCACAGCCTGAGCAATGTGTGCCAGCACTCAGCCACCCTCCCTCCAACAATGCTCTTCATTCTGCCTTTACAACTGGAACAAAGCGATGGCACAGATGTTAACACTGAAGCATAGATCATCTTTTAATCCTCTGAACTGTTTTTCTCATGGGAAGAGCACCCAATATCTGCCTTTCTGCAGCCTATGAATTTCAGAAAGGGACAATGACTTCTGTAGGGATGTCTGCAGCAGTATCCTATATTCAGCCAAACAAGCCTCACTCTCCAGAAGGGAAAGCCAGCTCTGCACTCAGTAAAGTCATCAGGTAAAATTCAGTTCATTTGTCAAACCTTATCTACCAGTCATCTGCCCCATCTTACAAAATATAACCACGTTATCCGGGATTAATGAACCTAATTTAGTACATACCTAAATAACAAAGCTTTGCCTTTGTTATTTGCTATAGAGAAATAGCCACTTCTGGGAGAAAAGTCCATAGATTGAGCAAGATAAATCTGTTTTCTTCTGAACACTGGGAAGTTTGAGAATACAGTATACGAAGGAATGTGTACCTATTGAGAAACAGGTCATTAGTTACAACAATTAGGAAAAAAAACACTAAAATTCATATTAAAGTACAAATTTAAAATAGAAGGTCAATGTTAAGTTCAAATGCTGGGTTATATTCCTATCCTATATCACTCGCATACAGAGTTCTAGAGAAAAGGTGCAGGGAACACATTCCAAAGCCAGTTATTATAACTCATTTATTTTCAAGTAATTACATGTAAGCAGTAAAATATGCTTCCAAACCCTCAGATTAATTCAATAGTTCCACTGTTGGCTTGAATTCTGACAAGCATGGCAAAATTTTGAATAAACTATGGAAAACACCACACAGTAAGCCCAGTTAACAGCTGCTGAAAATTCACGTTGTATGCTGAGCTCTATTTACACCACTGAAATAAAGGCATTCTTAAAAGGGAAAAACAAAAGGGAAACTACACCAGAAGATGTTATTTTCAGAACAACTTCCCTGAAAAAAAAACTTCATTATAAATGCAAGGTATCTTGTACATGAACTGATACGCTCTGTCTAGCAAACTGTGCAGTCCATCTGCTCTCGGTTATCAGTTTTGTCATGTCACCAGCAACATTTCTGATCAAGATACAAAAAGCTTGCACTAAAGCTGCACATACCAGTTTGACAGCCTCATCGGTTTCACGGGAAGCCACTGCCAGGATTTCTGTGGTGGGATTGAAGGTCACACACGTAGCAGATGTAACAAGGTTCATTATGGCTTTGACTGGCTTAGGACGGCGTTCTTTGAGACAGCCATCGGTAGTATATAAATTTACAACTCCAGAAGCTGAACTACAGAAAGAAATTAACAAAGGCTGTATCAAGAAAACACATTTACAGCACATACTACCTTGTTATTTATAGTCACATATCCAATCATTTACTGAAGTTTGTAACAGTATTTTGTGTGGATCTTGATTTTGCTTTGGAGTTTATATTTGGGATTCTTATTTATTTATAAAGACACATGCTTAAGTGTGGAGAGCTTTGATAAGCCCATCTCTTTCACAGCATCAATTCAACGCAATGAGAGCTTGGTATCAAAAGACTCAAAAAAAATCAAAAGCTTGAATCTTTCAAATACCCTCTTAAAGTTCATGTAAAATTCCTCTTCTACAGTGGACTAAGAAAATGCATACTGTACTTAATATGTGCTAGTCTGATTTAAAAGAATCCTTGCACTAGTTGAACTTGCATCTTGGTAAGTACACGTGGGAAAACACTTTCAAGCTCGTGGCTTGAGTTGAAGCATGGTTTCAAATGCTAACATGCTATCTTGCAGAAGCCAAATTAGGAGCCTAGAAAAGAGAACTAGAAAAGGGGGAAGAGCCTCAATCAACATTTGTACTACAGAATTTGTGATTTCAGTCAGTATGATTTCAAAATTAGCTTCTAAAGCCATATATGGCAGCAGTAATACATTAGGAGTGATACTGGTGGTGTGCGTTATGGTATTTTAGATACACACAGAACAAATTAGGTTGTTATCATAAAAGAGGCAATATTCATCTATTTACCTCTACTCTGACCTTATAAAAACAAACTTCTTTCATGTTTCCACACTCTCACCAGCCACCAGTAAGTTTACCGATGAATTTCTAGATGAAACAGGAGGAAGTTGTCAAATCCATGTCACTTACCCACATGCCACATACTGGTTATTTTTTGAAAGAGCGATGCACTTCCCTTCCAAAGAGCCTTCATCTTCAAATTTGTGTAGACACTTTCTGCTTCTCACATCCCAAATGAAAACTTCGCCTTCCTCTGGTTGCAGAACAAATCAGATCACAGAAACCATAGAGAGAGAACAGATTTGTTGTCTGTTTTGTTATAATGAATTTCATTAGATGACAACTATTATCTCATTCACAACTATCAAATACAGGGTGTTTAAAGAAATAAAACCAAACAACTAACGGCATACTAAAATAGTTAACTATTATTTAAGAATTGATCATTTGGTTGTATTTTTAGGCCAGATACTGGCATAGTCTTTTAGCCGTCTTTGTAAAACAATGACTTAGAATAACTTATGCAACTTAAATAGGATTATGATTAGTGATGTTAGAGAGAATACTTACTTGAATAGCTATATACTTTACTGCTGTCTGGAGTGAAAGCTGATGCAGTGCATCTTCCATTTACTTTCATAGTGCTAATCAGCTCCTTTGTCTACAGGATGAACAACAATGGTAACAATGATTCTACCAAAAATCTGTAGTAAAGCTGCTGCCATACTCCTGTCCCACAAAAATACTGAGTTAGCTACACTGACATTAAAAGAACAACATCAACATTTTCAGTGCCTAAAGACCAGAGCACAAGCCCACGGTCATGAGTCCACGCTCAATTTGTTATTGCTCCATTACAGAAATGAGCATCCTTTTTAAGAAGTATTTTTCTTAGTAAAAGTTTAGAACGAAACCAGCTGTCATCGTATGGCATTTTGAAATTGAACTGAAGAAATTCTGTATGCATGATGAATCACAGTAGATGGCGTGATTCACGAACACAGTATATCGGCATGCACTAGTGCTGCTCCCAAAACAGCAGTCTTATGTTTCTCCCACCCTCAGTTGCCTGTTTCCATGCTGACACCATTCCTTTTGCCAGCAGTGTTCGTGCAAGCAGCTGACATACAACTGTTCCCAGTGATAGCTTAAAAACCTGTCAAACTCTGGCCTTAGCTACATACCTTAGTCTCATACCTTTGCTTTCACCAAGAGCTTTTAAGATTAAACATAACTCATCAGATTCAAGAGGGGAAAGATACCAAGGAAATAAAGCTACATGAACCACGAAGAGAAACTACCTTCATTGACAACAAGTGAAGGTAGCCTGAAGTTCCAGTTACAAGCATGAATGATCCATCTGGAGAGAGTTCGAAGCTTCTGAGGAATCTTTCCTCCACACCTTTAAAAAGAGATTCAGAACTTCAAATGGGCATAATTTACTCTTTTTCCTCAACTTTCAAAGACACAATGCATATGGATAAGACTGCTTCAGCTTTTCATTTCTGCAGTACACTGTCACAGTAAAGCTACAACTCAACTTTGTTTATGTGCAACAATTGGCTTTTAATATCCCAAATTAAAGCTACTGGTATACGAGTAGAGATCCCTGAAGACAAGTTAAAAATACAACCTCCAACAATTCACTGCATTTCCTTTTAAAGCCAATTCGTATCCACCTCTATTTGAGACAGCTTCAACTACACCCAGACTCTTACAGCACTATGAAACGTACCTCTTACTTTCTGTATAGGAATGATATTTCCACTCATCATGTCATACACAAAGAACATTCTGTGGTGAGTACCAGTGGCTATAACATGCTCTCCATCAACACTGAAGCAAGCCTTATAAATTGGAAAACTCTCTAAGTAGATGCTCTGTATTTTTGGATTCTTTATACCATCAACCTTCAAAAACAAACAGATTCTATTAAGGAACATACCAAATATTTCTGCATAGAAAATTCATATCAACTAGCCAGTACAAGAGACTTAAACAGTAAGAGACAGACCAGTTCGAAGCATTAATCTCTTCTTCTCTTCTCAATCTACAAATAAGCTGGCTCTAGCTCTTCACCCTGTATATCAGGCACTCCCAGCCTTCCCGGATGTTATTTCACACCTTCTACCCTTCCCTGCCTTGCACAGGCTTTGGTCAAATAGTCACTTCTATTGTGCTTCTCCAATGGAAATATTTATGTTGTATTGTTCTTTCCTGCAATCCCTTTGGCTACTTCAGATATACTTATTAAAAAAAGTTCCATATTAGAGGCCATTTACATCCTATAGATTGAAATTCTTCACCTGAAAGAGCGACACGGATCGATCATGTCCAGCAGTCATGACTACTTGAGCAGATGGATGAAACTGCACGGTTGCCAGTCTTCCATCAGCAAAACGTTCCTGATTAGCAGGCAAGCAGATCCCCATCTGAAACACAGAGCAAGCAGTTAAAACAACCCATGTAACTGACATTTTTGCTTATTCTGGCGAACGGCAAATTTAATTGCCCTTTATTCTGCAAGAGCAAGATCTCAAACCCTGAACTTTTTGATGGCACAAGTAGAACAGACAAAGTTACTTCAATGCAGCAGTGTAGACAGAAGATGAACTAGCCAGCCGCTCTACTGACTTTGAAATTAACAGTCTGTGTAAAACTAGCTGCATTCAGATGTGTCTGAAATAGCTGTAGGACAGAGCTATACTGAAGAAGCACTCATTTAAAGCTGTCATTTCTCAAGGGCCATTTCAGAAGCCTCAAAGTTGTGGGACAATGATACCCCTCCTGTACAGAAATTAAAATCCTACAAGATGCTACTTTATTGTACATAAAATGATTCTCATGTCAAACAAAACATCTCAATTTGTTTCACGCTTCCATGATATGAACTGCTCAATCTGTCAAATTATTCACCCTCCAGGGTTTCCAGTTACAGAAACGAAGAAGAAATTCACACAATCACAAATTCCAGCTCTCAAATATCAACAAAGAAGCCAAAGCGTGCATATGGGTCAAACTGAAGCAGAAAGATGAGGGTCGCCCTTACCTTCAAAATACCTCTTGGCAGGGACTCTGAATTTGTCACAAAATTGCCAGTCCTGCGCAGGAGATCATCATCTTCATCACTCTCACCTCATAAAAACAAAGTGCATTGAGCATTCCCAAATCTTCATTCATGAATTCAAGGCATCATCATCATCATAGCATTGAACAGACTAAATCCAAAAACACTTCCACATTAAAAGCTAGAAAATCCTTACAGAAACAAATTAAATCAAAGCAGACTGAAGGAAGGAATAAAGCTGACCTTTGCAGCATATTAGCACACTACTGAATCTGAGAAAACATGAAAATATTTCAGCTGAATAGGAAAACACAGCAACACTTATTAGAGTAGTAATGGATTTATATTTACTATCACTTGCAGTCTTTTTGGATTTCTTCCTGTTTTCCAAGTCAGCCCAGGCAGGAACTCCTCCCATAGCTCGCTGAAACCTAGCAAGAGAAGGGTGAGGGGGTAAGAGGGGAAAAAAGAACTTTTTTGAGAAAGCAATTTCCTTCTCTGCATTAAGTACTTACAAGATGTACAATCTGCAGGATCATTTGCATTTGCAACACTACAGAAGTTTGCTAAAATTTCACTCAGCTTTCTGTGTTTTGCTGACTTCCTAAATGTGAAACTAAAGCAAAACTGGTACCAAGCATTTAAGCACTCTTCTTTGGAGTGATACATGCTAATACCGTGACAACCCAAACACATCTACTTTGCTATTCCTATTTCAGCTCATTCTTATACACCATACTAAGGGAACATCTTCAATCACACTATTTACAACACAGTGCATCACTACAACAAACTTTGGCGTAACTCCCTAGAAGACAAATTAGTTAGAGCTTCTCTCCTAAAACAAGTATTAAACCAGACAACATTAATGCATATTTTATTCATTATTCTTGGTATTAGTTTGGAATTACAAGCACTGCAGATACTGTAAGAAGCACTAGCTTTAATCAGGGCATATAAATACAGCAGGTAAAGAAGAAAGTGACTTTGAACAAGGCCAAATGCAAGGTCTAGCACATGGGTTCAGGGCAGTCCCAAGATGAACTATAGGCTGGGCATAAGAGCTTGAGAGCAGCCATAAGGACTTGGGGATGCTGGTTGACAAGAAGCTCAACATGAGCCAGCAGTGCACACCTGCAGACCAGAAAGTCAACCATATGCTGGGCTGCATCAAAACAAATAACCAGCAGGCTGAGGGAGGGGATTCTCCCCCTCTACTCCACCCTCACACAACCCCAAGTGCGGTTCTGCACCAAGCTCTGGGGCCCCCAACACACCAGAGATGAAGTCATGAAGATGCTGTGAGGGCTGGAGCAGCTCTGCTCTGGAGACAGGCTGAAAGAGCTGGGCTGGTTCAGCCTGGATGAGAGAAGGCTCTGGGTAGACCTTGTAACAGTCTCCCAACACCTAAACGGCACCTACAAGAAATCTGGAGAGGGACTTTTTACAAATGCCTGCAGTGACAGGTCCTTTCCAACCCAAACCATTCCAGGATTCTATGAACATCTCATAAGCTTATTTCATATTAAGAAAACTAACAAAACTCACTGTTCTTCAAGCCTTCTTTTTAGCTTTTTCTTAGTAAGTGTCTTCTCAGCATCACTTTTCATGAAGTCTCTCCTATACCTATGGGTCATATCAACACTAGAGGGAAAAACCACATAAGAACATGAAGATTACTCAAACTGAAGCTGCTTTCTATTACTCTTAAGTATGACATCCAGTTCTTACCTTCAAACTTGAACTTACTTTTCCTCTGCTTCATCATCTTCATCCACCCAGGCTGGCTTTTTTGTCAGTAAATTATCTTTTGCTTCCTTTTCTACTTCTGAATCACTGGAGTCCTTCTGGAGAGTTTCCCACTCTGGAGCATTAAGCTGAAAACAACCAAAGGGGGCACTTTAGCCCAGCTATGGATGGCTACAAGGAGATGCAGAGAGGAAAGATGCAGGGACAAAGAGACAGAGGAAGCTCCACAACGCTCCTGGTCGGGGCCTCAGGTGAGGCCCAGGGCAAGATCTGCCCGCGGGGCCCCGAGCCCTACCCGCTGAGGGCCAGCCAGGCACTGCAGCAATTCATCCTCTTCCACGTTGACGCTGTCACCGAACACCAGTTCCTCCAGGTCCCGCTCCGCACCTGACGCGCAGGAGAGCTCCTTCAGGTGCCGGGCGCGGCGAACCGCCTCCGCGGCCGCCTGCCTGGCCGCCGCCCGCTCAGCTGCTGCAGCCGCAGCGGCCACCGCTAGGCTATCGCTCCGCCGCGTCACCGTTTTCTTTGTTTTCGCCGTTTTCGCCGTTTTTTTCCCGTTATTTTTCTTCCTCCCGCCCGCGGGGGCCGCCGGGCCCGAACGACGCGGACCCATCCCACGCCGCATCCCCGCTCACCGGAACACGTGTTCGCAAGTCACGTGACACTTTATACCTATACCCTCCCTAAGCCCTGTTCCCGGGGTGTGATAGGCTCGTACCGCTGCCCCTCCTTAGCCCACGTGATTCCGGACGCTGTCGTCTTCCATAAGGCATTGTCACGTGATCTTTTTTCTTTGCCTTCCTTTCTCCACCCTCCCACTCCGCTTTCCGCGTGACACGGCCCATGGCCGGGCGGCTCCATTGCGGGCCCAGAGAGGGTTCCCCCTTCCCGTGTGACAACAACCGCGGCTCACCGGCGGCCCCACGGCTGCCCTAAGTTTTCCGCCATTCCCCAAAAGGCAAAACGAGCCCCGGCGGAGCTGCTTTTGCGCCCTCAACCTCTGCCCCTGAGCCGAGCTCCCCCCCCCCGCTTCCGAATGGTTTCGCCCAGAGGGCTGTACGGAGGGCGAGGAAGCCCCAAACAGGCTGGAGGCCAATGGTTGCGCGCCGCGCCTGCGCAGCGCCGCCATGCTAATGTTGTTGATGTTCCGGCGCACGGAGTTGGGGCTCTTCCTCCGGCGCGCTGAGAGGCTGAACTTTGCGGGCCGCCTCCTGCCCCGCCGGGCCCGGCCCCTCGCAGGGGGAGGCGGCAGGCGGAGGGGGCCGAGCCGAGGGGAGGGGGCAGAGGCAGCGGGCGTCTCCTGCCCATGAGGGCCTGATGGAAAACACAAAGGACCTGGTGAGTACCACAGCCCGGGAAGGGGGGGGGGGCGTGCTGAGGGGGCGAGCGGCTCCTGCGCCGCCTGAAGACAGCGGTGGAGGGCAGCCTGAGGGGCTAATGCCTGTGCCCGAGATCGGCCGCGGTCCCTGTGTGTGAGGGGAGCAGCTCCGGCACCCCCGGTTTGGGGGGGGGGGGACGGCGCGGCTCTGTGAGGGGTCGCGGAAAGTTGCTTGTGGGCAGCCCCGCGGAGCCGAGCCGTGCTGCGGGGAGCCCCCGGGCGCTCTGCAGTGCCCCGGGGCCGGGGGTGAAGGGGTAAAGCCGGTCTGTCACCCGCGGAGGGGCCGCGGGCACGTGGGGGCGGGCAGCGGCGCGTCCCCTTTGTTGTGCGGGCGGAGCGCTGCCCCGGCCCCTAGGGCCGCGCTGGGGTTTTCTCCTCCCTCTCCTCCTGCTTCCTGCCGGCTCTCGGGATCGACAGGGAAAAGTTTCAGGCAGTCTCTTCCTGAGCGGTTCAGGCGCACTCGGACGCGGTTCTCGCAGTGATCCGCCGAGGTGCTGGCTTCTCAGCAACTTCCTTCTGTCGATAAAGCCTTTAAGGTTTAGTTTTCCAGTGGTGCTCATTTCAAGTGCTGTAGAGCATCCTTGAATATTAGCACTTCAAAAGCTTAGGGTTGTTTGCATCCAGTTCCCCCCTCTATATAATTTTAATGACTATTAGTATCGTGACTTTGTTCTCGATGTGAAGAGCTGTAAACCCGTGAAACCAGTTTCACTTTCAGGCTGTTGCTGGGAATGTTTTAAAGTGTAGCAATTTCTGACCAGTGTGGCTTTAGAATAGAAAAGTCCTATTACAAAGCATATGTTGATTATGGTTAGAAACTACTGCGTGTGAAAAAGTAGTTCATTTGAAAATAATGATTAAAAATGTGGGTGGAAGCCCTTGTGATTGTTTTCTTCACCTTTAGAAGCAGTTAAGGCTTCAGGGCAGTCTTCTGTGTATTAAACTAAAATTACTTTGCAGGTTTGAGAACCTGTATTTGCTCATTTGTTGCATTTGTTTATAACAGTCTGATTTTGCTGGTGAGGAAGGGCAATAAAAAGGCTGAGTCCGATCAGGATCGTCAAATGGGCACTAAACCAATATATTCCTTTTCAGAAGGCTATCAGCTTGGTAGGTTAGCAGTCTCTGCTCGTTGTTTCTGCCTAGGGATCATACTGAGGAAGTGTGGAATGTGAGCTATAGGGAAGCATAGCAGAGATGTGTGCTCTCCTAAGTGGTAGTTATTGTTTATGCCACAAGAATAGTTGAGGTGGTGGTGTTGAGAGCATAAAGGCTTGTGCACAGGACTGTAGACTGAAATTAAGAATTCTCTTCATTGTTGTTCCCTAAAGAAGATCTAGATGACAATGTAGACAAAAGTTCCCTCTCCTTAGCTTTCACTTCTCTTACCTTCTAAAATTTGATTCAATTTTGCAAGGCTTTTGATACCTTCTGCAAAGTACTACTGCATACCTTCATTTCTCAGGTAAGTTTCACTGGGCATGTGTAATGTTTTGCTGAATCTGGCTCTGAGCACATGGAATGAATTCTGGTGTTGAAGACTTTAGTTTTGGGTTGGTGATGGTTTTTGGGTTGTTTTATTTTGCGTTCAATTAGTTTGCTTTCTTTTGTTTTTATTGGAAACACAGTGTTTAAAGCAAAGTATTTGCCTCTTCCAGATACTCTTGCAAAAGCTTTGTAGAAGCATAATGGAGTTTGTAAAAGATTTTCCGTTTTCTCAAAGCTCAGCTATTTCACATATTAATCATTACCTCCCCTCCAAAATCGCCTGCTAATTTGATATATTTTTTTATGAAAGAGTCTCCCCTCATGTGTGAAACCCTCTGGGGAAGAGGCTATGGACAAAACCATTGGCAAACAGCAGAAACTGGCTTCAGACAAAATGCTGTCATACATAGCAAATGAAGAGACAGGAAAAAACATTTCTGTAATTTTCCAGCAGAGATTTTACTTATAATAAGAGTGGAAGGCACATTTCCAGATAGAGGTGAGTTGCTTATGTTAAAGTAAGTTTGGTTGGTTCTGATTTCCAGGAATCCCGAGATGTTTAGCGTTGGGTTTTTCTTTGTTTGTTTGTATTTAACAAAAGCTGAAAGTATGTCTTCTCTCAATTGGTACCATGTTTGAATTTTCCTTTTTTGTCATGCTACAAGGCACAATTAGTTTTCAGTTCCACAGGGGGCAAGCTAGGATTACTATGGTAAATTGTTTTGGCCAGTTTATATTCAGAAGAGTTGTAATAAATTAGTTCTCTCCTCTTGTTTCCTTAATGCTGACATCCAGAGCTAAAACTAAGCTTGTAGCATAAAACATCCATGAACTTTGGAAAACAAAAGCTGTGCATCAGATTTAATACCGACTTGGAAATCCACAATGGGAAATGCACTATCTGTGAAGGATAGGTGATTAAAGTAAATCTGTCTTATCACAGGCCTTTGGCTTGAAGGTTTTGGTGACCTCACTGTTGACCTTGGCCTCAGATACCATCTGTCCATACTTCTGTCATGTTTCGGGAGGTTAGAGCTGAATATAGAAAGTGATGCCTATCTGTATAGGTGCTGGTAGGCCTTTGTTAAGTTACAGCTCATGTACTCAAGCTATAAATTGTGCCATTCTGAATTCAAGCGCTGAATGAACTCAGTAGTAACAACAACAATGGGTATGAGTGGTTTAAAACCTTCCTGTGGTGGTGGATCATCTTGCTTTGGCCAGGATGCATTTACTTGGGGGCAGGAGATTTGCTTATTTAATAATGGGGTTTTTTTGTATAGCAAGTTTTCACCTTGAAAACACTTTAAGTTTTGCCAATACTTGAGCATAGTCTTCATCAAGACACTAAAACAATTTTCTGAGTAAGTATTTGATGTCTAACCAACACTAAATGGTGTTTTGGGTGTGCATTGTTCACCCTTTGTGACCAGTTTTTTGTGCTGAAAGAGTAGTAGAGAATGTATGATACACTGTGCTGATATCAAATTCAATTGCATCTATATAAGACTATGTGTTAAAGAGGGTGAGAAACTAGTTATTTAGAGTTGCCTTCCTGCTTTTAGAGAAACCGGTTTCCTTAAGTATATTCTTTTATCGTGCCATTTGCCTTGTGTAATGGTTAATTAAAAATCTATCTTAAAAATACATTGTTGCCAAGTATTCACAGGGAGGAGAGGAAGAACAGGAAAGTGGGAAGTTGGGCAGAGTAAGAAAGCAGTTCTTAAGAGTTCCTTTCCCCACCCACCCCTTCAATAAAGAAAAGTATGCAAGAAAACCCCCAAGCAAATAGTGGTACAGGCTCATTTGCCAGTCCTGCTTACCCGGGAGCTTTTATTGCTCTTTAAAAATCTTCCCTGTTGAGGAGCTGGTAATCTTACTAGGAAAATAAGTCTTAGCCAGTATGCCTGAAAGTTTGCCTTGTTCTTTTCTTTGTGCATTGCTTCTGCTTAACATACTGGTAGATTCTGCTAGTGGGGGTTTAGCTGCCACTCTTTTGGTGCTAACCAGCTACAAGGTTCTGTGTTTTATAGTAAGCCAGGTTCTTGCACAAACCTTGTTTTTTAGACAGGCAGGATGCTGTTCCCTCACTGAGGGACACTAATCTGGTTCAGTTTTGAGGAAATGATTTTGAGCGTGATTCTTAATGCTAAATCCAGCTTCTCAGAGTAGGAAATTCTTTTGTTCTCTTCTATGCCTATATTGTGAAACATGGTTGTAATGTTAGATTAAGTTACTGCTACTGTTAATCTCTGGTGGCTTTTCTGAGTAAAAGACTGCATTCTCACGGACAATGTCTCAGAATTCAGTGAGAACACCTTGCAGGGTAATAAACTATTCTTTCTGATGCCTCCGTTCTCAGAGGTCCCATAGCTACCATGGTCAGACAAACAAGGCACTGCTAGTCAGCTAGTAAGGCACGCTGCTGCTCATCACTTGCAAGGCAGGGATTGCCAGCTGCTGCTGTTGCTGAAGCAGCTGCTTTATCTCTGTTATGGCTTGGTTTGAGGCATATATTGCCCTTCCTATTTTGACCTTTGAGTTCAGAGCTGGGCGCCTGCTTTTTTCCATTTTGGATGTTAGAGGTCCTATTCTTTTGCAAACTCCATCAAAGTTCTGCAGGAAGTGTTGTTGGAGATTCCACATGGTGTTCCCTTGTTTCTACAAATGCTGTGATTCAACATGGGTTAAAAAGAACCTTGGTGGTTTTTATTATCAAAATAGACATGTTTTGATCTGCTCCAGCAAAATGCCAGCAT